AATCCTTCTTCGCATGCGTTTTAATTATTTATACCCGATCTATTTATTTTTAATACCACGTTTGCATTAAAAAACAACTTCTTTTGAAAATGTTGCCATATTTAGCGATACGCGGGTAATGTGATTGCCACGATTAAAACAAATTTATGGCCAAAATTTGCTATAATACTTGCATATCATTTGTTGTTGAAAGCCGTCACTGTAAAAATTTTTTCTTCTTCGCTTTCGGAAAATATCGACTTTTTGAGAAATGTTTGACATAATCCACTCGACAAGTGTTTTGAACGAGGAAAAAGCAGCAAAATTTTGTGTATAAATTTACCTTAGTTCACTCAAACTTAATATTCAAAGAGAAAAAAAATTATCTAAAATTACAAAGCTTAAACAATTTTTTGATTGCAAATCGAATTTTAACAGTGCAAGTATAAAGGTCTACAACATTTCACACTTACTTGAAAATCCGCTGCTGTCACTACACAGCCATTCAGCAGTCTTTCGAGCGGCGTCGGACGTCATTGTGGAGCGAAACGATTTTATTAACATGGCTTCAACAGACAGCATCAGGACGCAGCGCAGTAAAGTTCACCCGAGTCCGGGGGCGGGAACAGCCCGTACTGTGTGGGTACCTAACTCGAGTACAATTTGCGCGAAATAAAAAAAAAATTACGCGAATGAACGTTGAATATCTGAAACGTGGGATGGGAATGGACTATTATCTGCGTTCTGCTTTATTTGCTCAACTTGTAAAGGAAAGACTACTACTACTACTACTCGAAGCCATGACATTTACTTTGATACCAATCCTGTTATTCCCAAGATGCCCATCTCGACTCCTTGGTTTACTCCCCTTCTTATGTCGTCCATGTCCACACTTTCCTCTTCGTTCATTTTTTGAAATAATTCCTCGATTGTTTTTTCCGAATTAGCCAGAACTTCGTAAATTCTAGAAATGCAATTAGGTCTCTCCATTTTTTTACAAGAATTTACTAAAAAAATATAAAAATGAAAAAAAATCGAAACACAAAAAATAAATTTCAATCAATAAATGAAATAAAATTTTGAAAAAGAGAAAAAGAAGCCCAGCTGCGGTTTTAAAGAACAGAATCTTACGACTACTTTTGATATCACATATGCTCAACGATCTAGGTGGAAGATTGGAAGAATCAATGAAGGCATCTTTTGACGATGTGTGGCAGTTTTTAGAAATTAACATCGACTTTTGACTAATGATCTGGAATCAAAAGTTCAGCGGACTCAGCTGACTCAAAAGGACACCGACTCCAAATTATTGGTCTGCAACTCTGATATCAACGCACTTTATAAAATATTAAATTGTTCATATTTCATCATTAATGGTATGCCGGTGGGAGTTAAGGTTATTCCGGCCGATGACGATGTCGGTAGATAACATAAAGTTTGGTCACCAACAAGAAAAAGTTTTTAATTTTCAAACTAAACTCAATTGGACTTCTTGATGGATTTATGGGGACGTACTTCAAAGATCAAAAAGCCCGCCCCCTGAGAGCTGCTGATTGTGCTAATGATGCTAAATTTTCGGGTGAGATTTTAAATCGTCGCGTTTATCTCAATGATTATCTCTGTCTGGATGCAGGCAAACTTAATGGTATACTTTCCAAATTGCGAAGGGAAAAGAAGATTATGATATATAAGATAATCAACCCTGTTAAACCTTATGCTACGCTGATCCTATCTGATGGGATCTGACCTTCTGAGCTTCTTAATAAAGTATTGCGTATTAGTACTGACGTGAATGGTAACGTTAATTTATGAAGAGTGTTGCCGTAATGCCTGTGATCTTCGCTTGTTTCGCCTAATAAATAAAACGTCATTGTAATAAATGATAAATAAAATATAAATGTATTGCTGTAAATCATTTCAGATATTGCATTCGGTTTCTTACCACGTACCTAGATCTCACTTATTACTTGTCATATTAACCCATATACGGAACCGTAGTGAGTCGTAGCTCATCTATCATCTGCTCTGTCCGTAAGCACTGTCAACTGTAGACAATTTCTCATATTAACTGTCAAAGTTTTAGGCCCCAAGTACCTCCCACTGGGTTTGAGAAATTCAAAACTCTCGTGGTGGATAAATTTGATTTACTTGCCATCTCTGAAACTTGAGTGAAACCTCACATCTCCAGTCGGTCAGGGCTACGCCCTTATTATGAATGACAGGCTCCAAATTCTAGGTAGTGGGTATCTATCTAACCAGTGGGATTAAATTTAAGGTAATTTTTAAATTTTCCTTGCTGGAGGCGAGCAAATCGCTATTTACTGAGTTGGGAGGTTGATGTTACAACTATTTTTAGTGTCGTCTACTTGATTAGTAATTTTATTGCTGTCTTCAAAGTAGTCATTTTGGGATATTGTCGAGCATAATTATTTTTGAAGATTTTAATCGTAACTTTTTTGATCCAGCTAATGTTAATGTGAGGACATCCATCTGCTTGAGATGTACCCATGTGTTACATCTTTACACCAACGCATTAGCACATCGAACCACATCTTTGCTTGATCTCTGGCTCTGAGTGGCTGTAGCTTGCTCAACCATTCTGACCAGATGCAAAGTCCTTTTATATCGTATCATGCCTTAAGTTTCCTAGTTTTAATATCAAATGCAAATCTCACTTCGTATTTTGAATATAGGGACTTCAAAAATATTGGCTGCAGTGATCTCTATTCCGCTATTGCTGACATTGACTAACCTACCCTCTTTAGAACCGCGAATATTGCAGTACAGCCATCAGGATCTTTGTTTAAATCATTATACCCCTTTGTCCTGGTTGTCAAGAAGAAAATCCCTAGACCCACTCATCGTGTTGTCGGAATGATCACGAGATGAGCTGTTGTATTACTTACACTAAGCTTGCTGTTTGGTTGGGTTATATGCTACGTTTGGAGTGGCTACGTGGTTAGTTTTTTTTGTTTTCTTTTGATATATTGATATATATAATGAATAAATTGTGATAAATTTAATTTTAAGTTAAGTGTCTTCTACATCTACTACACCCATGCGTTTTTAAATTTTTGGTAATAGCCTACATTTTGTTTTTTTGGGATAATCTTGAAATGCACTGGACAATATACGGCGTAATTTATACTTGCTTTAATACATTTAAATTGGCCCTTGGAGGACTGGTGTATTGAATTCTTGAATTATAAATAAATAATTTAATAATGTTACGAGGGGACTTTCTAAAGAGGGATAGATAAGCAATGTGGGACCGAAATGAATGTAGTTCTCGGTACACTTTGGCAAATAAATTATTG